AAGGAGCCCTGCCCTTTTTGGACTGTGAGCAGTCTCTCTATTCCTCAAAAATCTGTGGGGAAGAAAGCATGACAAGTAAGTGTGCAAGCATGAGTCAGTGCAATTGTGATGTGCGAGTGGCAATGCCGCTGGTAGCGTGGGCCTTGGCATCGCCACCCACACGTCACGCTCACAGTCATGCTCACACATTTACTTGTTTTGCGGTCTATGTCCTTTTCAATGTAGGAATTTTTGCCTCCCTCCCTGGGAGTTCTACTCACTGTAGCTCTACACTGTAAAGTCATTAGGTATTGCAAGTTTTGGACATTTATTGATCATATTCCAAACTACCTTTTGGTATTGTTGCATTATTCATAAACAATAACTTCATTTATAAATAAGCTTTGTAAGTTATGTTTATTTTTAGTAGAGCACAAGTATTTCAAGCAATGTTAGGGTTTTGTAAGCTATTTATGTTACTTGTGCAGGTATTATTTGTATTCTAAGTAACATTACTGTTGCAATGTGTAGTTCCAGATTTTTACTAAGATCTCCCTTACCCACTGGAAATTCCAATTAAGCTTCATTCACTTCTTCAAATTTTTCGGTCTTACAGAACCCCCACCCCCAGGAAATTCCAATCCCTTCTGTGGGGGTAGTATGGATATCTTGAACTGCACAATACAAAAAAGCTTTGAAGTATTTGTTAAGGTCGTTTAGCAAAATAGTACTCACAGTTAAGAGATTGATAACTGTGTGCTCCTTTCTCAAATTGTATTTAATCATTCCCATAACAGCTAGTATATTTTAGCAGCTATGAAAACTTGCACTTCACACAGTTGATGTATTATTTTGATCCTCCTTCAGGGATGTAGCTGAAAAAAAAGATCCAGCTGGTACATTAGCATGCCCTGCTGGTTTCCTGGCCTTTAGCAGCTTCAAAGCTTACGGAAGTCTTTGTTTTCATGTGAAATTTCAGTCAGATTGAATTTCCCTTTCAGCTGGTTCAAACAGTCTGCAGCCGGCCATCAGCTACATCCCAGCCAGATATAATCTATTTATAATCCTGTCAGAATTTATTTTAGTTTGTTTACCTTTCCTATACCTTAATTTCCTTTGTTAATTTCATTTACTTTAATTTGCTTGTTAATGGGCTGGAGTTGTAGTGAGTTGAAAATAGTTAGAAGTTCCCCTGAGGCAACCACAGGACATACTACTCCCATTTTTTGTTTATTAAAAAGGAGTTTAAAGATAGCACATCTTAGAAACGTTAGCCTAAACTGATTTAAGTTTGTCATTCTAACTGTAGTCCAACTGGACCTTCAGTAATTGTAACCATCTTTGATCCATTTTGCTTTGTTGTTACTTATTACCAAAAAGGCTTGGTGTGGGTTCAGTAGCCTCATAGTTAGTCCTTTCACCTCTGAATCTAGCAGTTCAGATTCGAGCCATATCCGGGGACACTGTGTTGTGTTCTTGGGCAAGACACTTTACTCTCACAGTGCCTCTCTCCACCCAGGTGTATAAGTGTCTACCAGCAAATTTTTATGCTAGGGGGTTAACCCTGCGATGGACTAGTATCCCATCCTGGGGGTGGTAGGAACACCCCTAATCATTTCATGCTACATGAAACCTGGAGATAAGTGCTGGCCTGATGGGCCACTTGGCTCTTATGCAGACTTAAACTTACCTGTAAGCGCTTTGCAGTGTTTAACATTGAATGTGTTCAAACATCTTGGCAATTAAATAATCACCTGCTAGAGCAGGTTTTGGGTCCTTAGTGAAAACTTGTGCACCCCATTGTGTTTTGATACCCCTGGGGCAACGATGACACTCCTAATAAGTACCTTTATTAAGAGGGAGTTAAGTGTACCTAGTTATAGTTCCAACCTTGACAACATGTAGGTTGCAAAGCTCTTTACTCAGATCCAGCCAAGAAAGAAAAGTTCTGTATTCATCCCAAAGAATGAAAATACATTCCTTTGCATTATTAATCTAGTTTCCAGTGATCTCAGAATTGTTTTAGGGTCCCTTTCTATTCAAGCCAAAAATTCCGGATTGTTTTGGAACGGGGGATAATTGTTACGGATATTTCCGGCGAAAGTTTTCGGAAAATCCGAAATTTGCTGAATTTCCGAAACGTGAACCATTCAACCTGAAATTTTATGAAATTTCGGGAGGAATATGAAATGGAACGAAAATCCCTTGTGAAAAATTTCCGAAAATTTGTGTGTACCTCGCGAGGTTGTTCTTTTTTCCTTGAAAATCCGGAAAAAGCTGTTCCATTCCTCATTGGGAATTTACGGAAGTCAAAACCATAATTTTTCGTTTAATGGAAAGCGCCCTAGGTTTCTTTAGTTCCAGAACCGACCCAGAACACGCGGTACTCAAGCGCAGGCTGCCTACATGTAATCTAAATCCATTAACTACTTGAATTAGTTGATGCTTGGCGCTTTCCATTCGACCAAAAACTACGGTTTGCATTTAGGAAATTTCCAGTCTCGAATAGAACAGCATTTTCCACAATAGATCTTTTTTTAGCTCAGGTGCTTTGTTGCCCCGTTTCAGACCATGTGCAGGAGAAGCTCTTGCATGTCATGTGAAGACACTCATAAAAGAACAATTCTCTAGAGAATAACGGTCTGTTATGGTAAAACAAATCGCCTAAGCTAGAAAGGTGTATTTCCGACAACCTCACGAGCTATACCCAAACTTCCGAAAATTGCTTGTCGTTTAGTTCAGTTCCATTGGATTTTCATCCTGGAATTTCTGAAATTTTCGGTTGAATGGTTCGCATTTTAGAAATTAAGCAATATTCGGATCTTCCGGAAAGTTTCGTGGAAATTTCCTACCATTTGCCCCTGTTTCGAAAGTTTTGGAATCTTTGGTTAAATGGAAAGCGCCCACTGTATGAAGTCAATATAAATGATCACAAGTGAAGTTTTGTCTTAAGCGCATGCCACGAAAGGTGAAAGGAAAAAAA